ATGGCATCTCTAATTATTTTACAATAATCATTCTTTAAATGTCTAAAAAAAGTTCTGAAAAGTGTGGGTCACAGTATTTTGCATTTGGTTACAATAAGAGAAAGTACAGCGACATTACTAAAAAAGATAACGATGGATTTCCTGATGAAGAATCATCACTAAAACGAAAATTTCCTAGAACATTTCATAAATAACTTTCTTAGCTAATTTTAGGCAAATGTAAACTTTTAAAAATTTATTTACTTATTTAGTTTGTTTACATCAGTTTTACATGAAGTATTATAAACTTAATTAAATATAACACGCTACTTTTACTGCAAATATTTTGTTTAGATTTCCTTCTAACTCTGAGAAAAAAAAGTACGGATTAACTAAATACACCGCCAAGAATTGAGTCTAGGTTGCACAATCTGATAGTTCTGATCAATTTTTGGAAACGAATATTGACAAAACTGGACAAGTAATTAGGTTGAGGTAATTTTTTTTTGCAAACTAGATTCAACAAAATTTCCAGACCACATAAAAAAGGAATATGATCAATTATGCCTTTTTTAATATTGTACTGGCTATTTCTATATGTACCTTTTAGGTACATATAGAAATAGCCAAAATCCAACGTGATAAACTTTTAAAAATAGGTATATAAACTCTCTTAAACAACAAACAGTATTCTTGTCTTTTTCCTTCTGCCTTCACAGCCCTTTTGCTGGAATTTATACACTGGATGTTTACGTTGGTATTTAAATACCAACGCATACCAAAATGTTTAAAGTTATTTAAAGTTTTAAAGTTATTTATCATAGAATTTTTTTTTTTTTTTTTGTAGCTTTAAAAAGAAAATTATAAGTAAAGTTTTTCTATATGTATATAGTCATTTTTCTACCTCTAACTAAAAAGTATTAAAGTAAGGATTAAGTATAGAAAAGCTCGGTGTGAAATAGATTCCCAAGACCCGCATTTGAAGGGTCATGACAGCTAGTTAATTATAGTGATAGAATTTAAAATTAAACTTTGTTTTTATGTGCAATTTTGTTCCGAATACTAAAGTTTTAACCAGATTTCACATTGTCAGTCATTAAAATGTTTTCTATTTGTTTATAAAATAACAAAACAAAACAAAACAAAACAAAACAAAACAAAACAAAACAAAAAACGAGGGGTTTTCTGGCGCTCATTTAAGCTTAGCACCCGAGTCAATTCGCCCCTTTTGCCCACTCTTCCCCCGTCTCGAAGGCCCGGTTTTGTTTCTTAACCTTTCTAGTATATTTATTTTATTGTTGTAAGGCACGCTGTCAGAGTTTAATTTATTAACCTGCGTGTTCTTTAGAACAAGTATTACTATTCTAATAAATTTAAATCAAATCAATCTAATCAGTAAAAAGAAGATCATCATCAGACATTGGAGTGATTATTACATCATTAGAGTGATAAAGACAAACGACATACGAGATAAAGAGAATTCGAGTCTAAGCACTAGTTATGATTTTTTTTTTGTGACGTATACAAAATCCTAAGCTATTCAAGACTCAAAGTGATAGTCACAAAAAGTGAAAGTCCATCAGTTTAAAGAAAAGCGTGCTAAAATGTCTAATGTGAGTGGTATTCACTTTTTTATTGTTTTGAGCTGTTTTAAAATAGTTTTTAAAAATTATTGTTCTCTTACAAATAAAGTTCATTTTGTGAACAAGATCCGTAGGCCTGAAACAAGGTGTTTGCCGTATCAGGGAAATCAAAGAAAACAGGAATAATTCAGGGAATTCAGAAAATTGCAAGAAAAAAAGTTGTCAGGGAAATTGGGTTGATCATTTAAAATATTTGAAAGAAATCATGGAATTTGACTAAATATGTTGTTCATTTAACAGGTTTTCATGCCTTAATGTTTTCTTTTTTTATTGCAGTTATTATAACTACAATAACAAAAGTAACTAAGTTACAACAATAAAAAACAATAATTTAAAACAGAGATTTGTTAAAGTTAACTTTATAGGTATTATGTGTTTTTTTTTTTTAATTTTATTATAGTTATATTTAAAAATTAAACAACAATTAAAATAGAGATTGGTTGAAGTTAACTTTATAGGTATTATGTGTTATTTTTAATTTATTTTATTATAGTTATAGTTAAATTGAACAACAACAAAAAGACGTTTTTTTTATAATTAATTTATATAATAATTATCATTCAAAACTATTAATTTAACTATTAAAAAAATCTATATATACTTAAATCATCTTTCAGGAGTGGCTTTATAGGAGTGAAAGGAGTTCTGGTATTTCAATAGGTTTTTTAAAGTTAAACAGTAAAATTTGTCAATTTTGTTCTTCAACAAAATTTACAAATATTACTGTCTAACTGTTAACTGTTTCACTCCTATAAAGCCACTCCTGAAAGATGATTCAAGTAACTGAAGTTATTCCTAAAGTTGATGTAAATTTTAGGTGAACTAAATAAATAGTACAGCAACATGCAATCATAAGATAGAATTATGAATTGTTATAAAATTATGACTTGTTCTTAAATAAATATAATTATAAGAAATCAAGTCAGTTTGTTAAAGTGATAACAATTTGTTTGAAAAATGTCTTCATAGTAAAACACAAAACAAAAATAAGACACTAAATGGAATGATTTGGAGATAAAATGAAGTGTTCAAAAACAGTTTGAAAAGACATGGACTGCAGCTAGTAGAGGCATAAAATAAAGAGCATCAAGTAAAATGCTTTTTTATGATGGTGTAGGTTGATTATAAGATTTGGAAAGTAAATCTTTTACCTTACAGCATTTCAAGATGGATTTTAAAAGGTTTTTCTATTATCTGAGTTGCTTGAATTAGTTGCACAACATTTAGGCGTTAAAAGTTTGGTTAAGCAAAGGTTGAGAGTATATATACTATCAATTTTGTATTTGGAAGTTATGCTCACAATTACTTCAATCTTAGATAAAAAATATGCATCTAACTAAGTATGCTTACTAGTTATGTACCAATTTATAGGCATCGGTTTAATTGGCCACTTTTTGCACAATTGGTATCAGCATCAGCCTTTATTTATTAATTTATTGATTTCCCAACCGATGGCATGTTAATATTTTTATCCTGCATTATGATAAAAATTAAACAATAAATAAACTTAACTTTATGAATTTTTTTGATACATTTTTATATTTTGACTTTGTTTTACAGGCAATATTGTTTATTCTTAAGATGATGCTTATAAGCTCTAATTTAACAGCTGAATTTACTTAGGAGTCTGGCTTTTTATCTCCATTTTTTTCATGTCTGTAGTGTCTAGAAGCTCTAACATGTTTTTTAACTTATGATCTGCTATAAGAAAAAAACTCATGAGATTCAATGACTTGGAACTTATTATTTTTAAGCCCGGATTCCTTGCCGTCATTATCAAAGACTCCAGTTTAAAAAAATGACTGTTCCTCTTACCTAAGAATCTCAAACTTTTGTAAATAATGCTGGCAATATACTAGCAATAGGCTGACAGTTTTTTGTGATATTTGCAATATCAAATATCATGTTTGGTCTTTTCCCACCAAATTTTAAAAAAATGCCTCTATGCAATTAATGAAAATATAATGTACTAAGGATAATATCTGTACAATAATTTATATAGCACGTGATTTAACTTCACACTAGATAACTGCCACTATCAATCAAGGCTACTGTATAAATCAAGGCTTCCACTTTTTTGTTTTTATTTTTATTTTGTCAATAGTAATGCTGTGGCTAACTTGGGGGTTGTGTGTTTGCAGAAGCTGAGAAAGTGACTCAAAAGAAATTAGTTTCAATTAAAAATAGAAGTTATAAGACCAGCTAGTTTAAAAAAATGATTAGTCTTGAAATTTATGACAGATAGAATCTTAAGCAGGACATTTGGTAAATAATGTCATGTTTCCATAGAACCAACACTGTTGTTTTGATTTTACCATTGTAAATGGTTTTTGTGGAGATTTTATTTGTTGAAAAGATGTAGTGCTACTGAGGATAGGTATTTACAAAAGTTAATGAAAAGTCTTGTTCTGATGTCTTATTTTCTAGCAAATGTTTCCCTATATCATGAGAGAGCAAGGCATTTTTTAAAAGTATCATAATCTCTCTGCTCTGCACTAACATCACTAAACTCTTTGATAAGTTAGCTCATTTAGGAGTTAGTCAATAGATTTACCTGCTTTCTGACTATTGATAAAATATGTTCATTAAATATTTTATTTTTTGGTTTTGTATGAACAGTTTGTGTTATTGCTGCTTGTTTAAACTCATCAACCTGGATATGGCTTTATAATGTGTGGTCGTGGTGCAGTGGTTAGAGCGCTTGCTTTATAAGCAGGAGATCCAGGAGCGTCACGTTACGGAAGGAGGCATAAACTTCCTGGTTGAATGCACTTCTGCAGTGCTCTGTGACAAGACCGTTTAGACTTTTTGTGGCACCTAAATAACAAATTATTAAAAAAAAAAAAGAGGATAAGCTTAATAGTATTATCAGTAAAAGTACTTATAAAATTAAAAAGTAAAAGTACTTATAAAATGTTTTCAAACAGCATAAGTATATCACAAAACATTTGTTAACACTAACAGTATGTTGTTATTAACAATATTACTATTACAAACAGTAGCTTAAACAATTGCATCATTGAAAAATAATATCTCTGTAAAACATGCTCTTCACTTGAAGATATTCTTGATATGCTTTGAAGCTTTTTTTAAACTCTTTAACTCTCTAAAATTTTGCTCTGTAACTCCCCAAAAATTTGTTCTTTACCTCCCCAAAACAATGCTCTGCAAATTCTCAGAACTTAGCACTACAACTCCTCAAAACTCTATTAGCTCCAACTCTTCAGAACTCTATTAGCTGCAGCTTTTCCTTTCCTTTTTCTAACAGTAATTTATTGTTGTGTTTATATTTTTTGATAATTATTAATTTAAAATAAAAAATGCCCTCTTTATTTACAAATAGTGTGATTGTTTTAGGTAATTTTTATTTTTTAAATAATGCAATTATAGAAATATACATTTGAAGTTGAGATGACTTGCAGTGGTTGCTCTGGAGCAATAACTCGAATATTGAGCAAAAATGAAGGTAACTTCCATGTATTTTGAGTATACAAAATTTATAAATATTTTATTGTGTTTATTTCTTGTATGTTAAAGTTATTTGTCTTTTATCAATACTTTTTAAACATAAAATGGTTATACAAATGAATGCACTCACATTAAATGTATAAATTTTTCACCATATCTTTTATCAACTTTGGTGACATCTACTCAGCCTTCACAAGTGTAGACCTGTTTGACATACTTTTTAAATGTTTTTAAATATTTTATTTTGGTTGCTGCATTAACAATAGTAATTAGAAAAAATCACAAATTTAAAATTAATATTTCTTAATTTAAAAGCAAATATGAACAAGTTTAATATGGGGAAATAATTTTTTCTCCAGGTAGAATTCCCTTAAAAATACATACCCCCTTAAACACTTCATGTATAAACTTTCAGCTCTGGGTCCCACTAATGACAATAAAATTATTAAATAACAATTGAATCAGTATCTCTAAACATCCTAGATGACAAATTAATTAAATATTTACCTCATTTACAATTTTAAAATCCAAAAAAAGAATGAAAATCAAATTTTTAATTTATTTATTTACCCCTTACTGTTTAATAGTTTAATTTTAAGTTTGCAATTATCTTATTTCTAGACAATGTTTGACTTGTTCTAATCCACCAATGTATTATTAACTAATTTACAAACTCTTAAAGATGTTTTTTTTTTTGTGTGTGTGTTTTTTTGGCAGTGTTGTAGATGTAGTTTTTAAGGGATCACTAGCTTTAAAATAGGAAATCTAGCTTTTAATGCAATAACAATGTATGTTTTGAATAATAGGAAATATGAAAAATAATAAGAAAAGTATAGATTTAAGACAATAACAGCTTTAATAACAGTAATAACTATTTTTTGAATAACATGAAATGACAAAAAAAAAAAAAAAAAAATGAATAGCATAAAATATTTTGAAAAAGAGACATGCAATAAACAAACATTTCATCTAAAAAAATATCTTTGAGTCATTAAGATTTTAAATATTTCAATCAGAACCAAAATAGTGTTTTTTTTTTTTTAAGAATCAGAGGATGGTGCCGCAGATGTAGGGAGAATCATTGTCAGCTTTTTGTTATCAATGCAACAAGCCATTTTACTACATACAGATTTAAGAATGGAATGACATTGTGAACACTCTTTTAAAGATTTTGCAAGACATTCTTCTACCCAAGAGCATCGCAGATTGCAACGCTAAAACAGTTCATTTTTAGAGCTTATGTTTCTTTTTCTTTTCTGAATCATAATTTTTTCCGGTTTTTCTCCTTCGAGAAAAGCCACTTTTGAAAGCACATCTTGAGCCTCCAAAGATCCATGCACATTAGTGACCCTTGTTATTTTTGTTTAATTAACAACCTCCTTGGGTTTCACCCGGTTTACTGAAAGTAAACCAGGAACTTATGCTAAATTGAGGCTTATCTCATATGATTCCTCAATGAATGATTGTGACATTACATACATTTTCAATATTTGGCTGAACCATACCTTCCTTTTGTTTGAGTGACTTTGGATTGTAATCTTGGAGTTGTTGCCAAAGGTCCGTCTTTTGAGGTCACACTTCTTGTTTTCTTAGGAGTAGAAGGTTCTAGAGAAACATCATCAGTTTTATCAATAAGGAGAGCTGCTTGTTCAAATTTATCCTGTTGCATATCATCAACACTAAGACCATCCTTACTTATACCAACTCTCTTAGCAGCTGCTATGATATTAGCAGCGGATGCCCAATTGTTCCACATTGTTCTAAGGATATTCATGAATCTTTCTCGATTTATTGTCTAGAAAGTGGAAAAGAGTACATCTTGGGTGTTATTATAATATCGATGGAGCTGTTGATTTGATGCTTGGTCTAGTAGTTGTGTGACTCCAGTAAGATCAGGCGGAGACACAAATAAATTAATTTGCTTTTCATGCAAAAAATTAAGAACTTTAAAGTCAAATTGTGACGAATGACCATCTGATAGAAGCACAACTAGTCACTCTATACCTTGTTTGGTAAGATGTTTATTAAGTTTCTTATACGCAGCCAATAATGAGTAGTTATCTTGCGAAACACTCCCTGTCATGGAGATGATCAAATTTTTGATGTTACTGGCAGCTTTTGTGGTGCCATCTGGCTCGTTATGCTTTTGCCAGCAAATATTACCTGACACAATGAAATCTCTCCTAAAAGTATAAATATTATATTACACTTTTTTAAATATAAAACTATAAAAGCTGCAATATTTTTATAGTTCTTCATTATACTACAAGCAATCAGTTCATCAGCTAAGGCATCTGGAATAAAAAAAGTTGTAAAATTAATAATCTAATTAAGTTACATAAATTATCAATGTACAAAACATATAAACTTATTCAAGAATAAAAACCAAGTTGTAGAACACTTGAGAATGAAATTGAAAATCTTTTTTATATTCAGGCTAAACTAAAAAAACAATATGTGATAAAAGATGTGTACCTAGACGATCTGTAGCCATCTCCCTAGTACAATTTAGGGCTCTGTTCATTTTAACTCGGCCTTGCCTCTTAATGAAAATATCATCATGTTCAGCATGCCATCTTCTCCAAAATGGTTTCCCGTGTCTAAATAGTTTGGATAATAAGGTTCATTATTTTACATCTATTTAATATCTACTGTACCCTTGTGCATGTTGGGATGTTGATAAATTAGTTTAAAAAAAAAAAATTACTTACCTTCCATTTTGTAGGGCTGTTTTTGCACTTAGGTTTTATAAACATTCTTCCACCTTTTCCATTTTTGTTCAAATGATCTCTGATTTCCAGAAAATCCAAAATAATTTCAGAAACTTCATTTTTAGAGAGTTCCTGATGGGCTCTGTTTTTGTTTCTGATAAAGCAAACTATTTCCTTCTCATCATCTGGATGTAAAACTCTCAAATGTTCCTTTTTTACATTCTTAACTTTGCCATCTAATCTTCTGTCTATTGTACTACGATTTTTAATTAAAGGAAACTTTCCTGTTTTTAATGCTGCCTGTCCTCGTTTTTTATTTTCTGTGCACCAATCTACTGCCTCTGCTATTTGATTTTTTTTTAGCTCTTATGTCTTTTCTGTAAACTGTAGCTTCAGTTCGAGTTTCTGGCTTTGTCTTTGTTCTACCTATTTTTCCACCTGCAGAAATCTTAAAATTAAATTGCGGTTTTCCCATACTATTATTTTATTTAAACACTAAAAATAAAGAATATACATACTTGATTAGAGGTTATAAGCACAAAATGAACAGAAAAGTACCAGTTATAACCATTTTACCATATCTTAGTTAAAGAAGATCATTATAAACATTCTCTTCATTCCTGGCTATTTTACGTGAGCTTGTGGAGGCATATTTTACCTAATGTAATGTGGTATTTAAGGGGGAAATCGTGTAGTTTTTAAGGGACTTTACTAGCTAAAATGCTATTTTTTATTGGACTAAGTTAGCAAGCCTCCTTATATATCATATTACACTAATTTTTGATATAATAAGAAACAAATTTAGAACTTTCATAAATTTTTCATCCATATAAATACAATTATGTTCGTTGTAGTTTTTAAGGGGAATCTTTGAAAAAATCAGAAAATTCACTCTGCTAATTCTCACTAAATATGACAAAACAAGGATAACAACTTCCAGGGAAGAAAGACCCTATATTAGGTGTTTTCAAATCACAAAAAAAAAAAAAAAATCAAATAGTTGACCTGTAACGGATGTATTCCATTTTCAAAATTTGCGTAGCTTTTAAGGGAACTCTACCTGTCCTCAATTACAAAAAATGGTTTAAAAATTGTGACAAAGTGTATTTGCTAATGTGCACATTTACAAATAAATAAGTTTAAACTTTTTTATTACTTTTGTAAACAAATAATTGACATTTACCTGAATCAAATTTTTATGTAAAAAATAAAACTTAATCATTTCTTTTTTTTTAAATCTTTAACCAAAATAATAAACACAAAGCCTAACTACCCTTAACAAAAAGGATGTCTTGGAGTATGTTAAAACTGCAAACTGAAACGATTCCAAAAATTTTAATATAGTTTGTAATACAATTTATATTTGAACCAACAGAAAGTAAAAACATTAAATTTATTTAAAAGTTATAATATTTATACTTACGCGAAGTAATAATTAATAATTAATGTATCATGATAAAAATAGTAATAAACCAATGATAGTTAAAAAACATTACTATGTCATTATCTTTTTCTACTGACTTCTCATGAAAATTATATATAAAATCCATTACAAAGTTGCATTTTTTTATTGTGCTTGCCATTTTGTTACTCCTGATTCCATATATATTTTTTCACTTTTATGAATTTTTTGCCTTAGTGTCAAATGTTTCGTAATTCTGCTTTTTTTTTTTTTTTTTCTCTACACACACTGATAACGATGATAGCAGCAACCATGATGGTTGCTGCTATCATCGTTGAGAGCTATCACCTTTTGTTCTATCAATTAAAACTCAATCTTGCATGATCGTTCAGCTCTAACTCTTTTTTTATATCTAAAAAATTATTTAGTTTTTTTGTCACTCATTTTGAACTTTGCACTCCTTTCATATTTTCTTGACATAGAATTTATAGTTTTTTAAGTTTTTGGTCAATTGTCTTCTTGTGCTTTAACTTTTTTGGTTTCTGCGTAACCACTATTTAAGTAAGGAGTTATCCTTACTTAAATAGTGGTTTTAAAAATAGCTTTTGATAGTAATTTTTTTCAAAAAAGTTGTAAACTTTTCTGGATTTTATTGAAAAATGAATTTTATTTGAAGTACAAAGTATTTTTTTTTTTTTCTTTGAAATGCATTAAAGTTATATATAATATTTATCTTTTTTAAGAAGCTTAATTCACTCTAGTCTTTTTAATTTTTCAAATAAGAAAAAATCTCATCCTTGTTGCTGGGTACTTTTGAATCTATATCTTAAAATTTAATTCAGACTGTCTAGTTTCTGACTCTAGACCATATTTGAAAGTCCACATACAAATATTTTATTTGAGATCAATATAAAAACATTAATACAATAAACTCCTAGTTATTCAAACCTTTACAAAAATAAAAAATTTACTTTCAATAAACGAAATTTTAAATAACTCAAAATTCACTTTAAGTTGAACTATTTTTTAATTTTCACAAAACTTGTATAAAAGTCTTGACATTTGGAATAAATGTCACATGAACCCTTTTTCTTGTAACAAAAAATTAAAATTAAAAAGAGTGCCGTTTTCATTGTTTTTAATTTCTAAAGAATGTTCGTAGAAGTCCTTTTTGGTACAAGTGGTTGGTACTTAGTGGTTGTTTAATTATTTCGCCACTGTTTTCAAAAGGAAACTTCATTGGATTATCTAATTGTTATTAATTTTAAAATAAGGTTGCTTTTGTGTAAATAAAATATTTCTTTTGATTTTCTTCGTCATTAAACAATTTAAGTCTTTAAAAAAGGATTTTTACAAATAAACCTTAAAAATAATGCTAATTTTTTTAATTAAAGTTAACGAAATGTTATTAAATAATTGAGGTTTCAAATTTCTGAAGGATATTTCTTTGAGTTCGTTTAGATAAATCGACGGGGAATGAAAATCGCTTGAATAAACGGGAAATTGCAATAAGTGCAATTTCCAATAAAAAATTCCGATAAATCAAGAGTCTATTTAAAAATTATTGTATTGTAATGTTATCTATTTGATAAACCAGGAATCTATTGTAATTTCAAATGCTCAGCTTTCATTTAAACTTAATTTTCTTTATAAACAGTATTGCTACTGATGCGTATTTAAGAGTTGAGTTTTTTTTAAGGTGTTTTTTGTGTTTTTTACATAAACACAAAAACAATTTTTGTGTTTATTTTTTACATAAACACAAAAATTAGTTTTGTGTATATGTATAATAATTGTTTAATAATTAAAATTTTAGTTGTAATTATTCTGATGATGTTTTTGTATACATTTTTGTACAGGCATTAGCACGTTCAACGTTGATCTGGAAAATAAGAAAGTTACGGTGGAAACTGATTTATCCTCAGACGATGTTTTAGAACTGATAAAAAAATCAGGAAAAAAAACTACTTTAATTGAAAATTAGTATTTTATTATAAATTATATTTATCAAACAATTGTAATATTATGCCAAATATATTTTATATGATATGCTATTTTGATACTTTTCAACTTAGAGGGTATATAGTATGGGCATACATCCATAAAGTACGTACGCAGTAAAACCATTAATTTAGCACCCCTCCCACTTTGTAAGCACATGCGTGCGTGTAACTTTGAAGTTAAGTGCAATTAATAATTTATGATTTAAGTTAGTACTATTTGATATACTGAATAAATTAAATTTGACAGTATTTTGCAGACATTTAAAGTTTTGAAACACAAATCAAAATAGACTTTCCCGTACTGTAGAGGGGTTGTTTGGTGTGATCGGTTTACTGGTTTGGTTGTTTGAGTCAGGTTTTACTGATTCGCCCCCCTCGCCCTAATTTTTTTTAATGTGGTTTTTAATACTTCAATATTTTAATTTTTTTTAAGTTGCTTTTAATTATCTGATAAATACATTTTAATACGTACAAATTTAATTAAAACCTATTTATTCATAACAAGCTTCCTACAAAAATAAAACAAAACATTCCTCAGCTATAAAACTTTGTCCATAAAAACAAAACTTTCCTCAGCAATAAGATGCAAAATCTTTCACAAAATCACACGATCAGAGAAAACAAAAAAAAATTATTTTATAGTATATTTTAGGATGCTGAAGAAAAAACCATAAATTGAACATATTTAGTAACAACAAAATTTGTAACAAAGTTTATTTCAGATATAGATTAAAATACTAAATTTATTTACCAAAATCACTAAACAAACAGAAAATTTAAGTAATTTAGAGTTGTAAAGTTTTCGTAAATAAAAAAACACAATAGTTTTACTTTTGAAGGCTTTATGTTGAGCAGCCATGGCGCAGTGGTAGCGCACTTGTTTCAGAAACGTAAGATCCGTGGTTCAAACTCCACCTCTGGACAAGTTTTGCGACATCGGTTGGGAAGGAGGCGTGAACTTCCTAATAAATGCTCTTTCCCGGTGCTCTGTGATAAGACCGCAAGGACTTCTTGGGGCACCTAAATCAACATTAAAAAAAAAAAAAAAGTTTTTTTGTTGTGGCTCTTTAGGTGACCTTGGTGTATATAAATTAACAAAGTTTTTTTTTTAAATGTTTGAAAGTGAATAAGCATGTTTTTTTTTTCCATATTATAGTTAAAAGACTGAAATTAGCATTAAAATATCGTAGAGTGACTTTTGGCAGACATGAACAATTTCATGAAACAAAATATAAAAAAATATGGTCCACTGACAAACATTGTCATTTGGTATTTTAAGCCCTCCACGATTAATTTTAGCAGTATAATCGCCGAATTCTTTATAATAAAATATAGCTTCTTCTTGCTCTTCAACTTCATTTCGCACAATATATCCAGCTATGTAAACTAATCCTGCTTTTGTATTCTATTTGCACACTCTTTTTTAGCTTAGACAAATTGTCAAATATATCGATAGCATTACTTATAAAAAAATATCCACATTTCTGGCAGTTATGTCCACTTTCTGAAGATAAAAAATCAATATCTATATCAAAATTGAGACTTTTGCTCGTCGAATTCTTACTTTTTCAATGATTTGTTGCACATTAATAAAATATTTGCCTTCTTATCCTTGTCGGAGTGTTCCAAATATTTTTTCTATTGGGTAATGTAAGTTTTCCTAGGAACATATAATGAAAAGATTTCTGCTATAAAAACTTTATAAAGGCTACTAAACCACGACACGTATGAGCTATAGCTGCACCTGTATCTCTGGTGAAATGATATTATCTGCTGCCTTGTTTGCTAGTCATTTGTTCTGCAATTGTTGCAAGACTGAGTTAAAAGGTCTAACAACTTCTGAAGTTGATATAACTGCTCTATCTGGATCTTTATATTGAATATCAGCACACAGTCCTTTTGTATTGACAATTTTCCAGAACTTAACAAATACTTCAATAAAAATTATGGTGTCATTTGCTTCTTTTATATTAATGTTAGATTTTAAAGGATTTACAGTTGTATCAAAAAAGACTTGTAGACAAGTAGACACCTTTTGTCGTTGAATAGGTGCAACAGACACTTGTAATTTAGACAATTTTACAGTATTATTTACTTTGAGTCTGAACAAACTTAAGGTATTAGACCAACATGTATATTTAATTGTATACTTCTTCAATCAATAGCAAACACTTTTTTTGCATTTCATTTTCAAGTTTAGAAAAAACTAAGTTTAAAAACTCTGTATCATCCATTGCAGAATCCAGTTTTGAAGTTAGCTTTGTTAGGAGAGAATACTTGGATGTTCATAATCTTCCCTTAATCTTCCATATAATGATCTTAAAATTGCAAAGTATTCAAAGGCTCGTGCAATAGTTTTTGTAGTGTATTTTTTTTTCCAAATGTAATAGAACTCATATCACGAATGTGTTGCAAAAGATGTACTATTTTATTGGATTTTGTCAAGTTATTTAAAAAATTAATACCTTTTTGCAGGCACGCCGGAAACGGGTAGCAACTGCTACTCCTGCCCTTTTGGCTGGGATGGCAAAGGTAGCATGAATGTGCACTTTCTAGGAAATAGGTATGGTAAATTTTTGTGCTTTAAATGCATTTCATTATCCAACATTTCATTATCAATATTTTACTATTTATATCTACCAACTGGAACTGGGAATAGATGGTAGTAGATTAATTTTTTCTCAAAAGGTGGTAATAGATTAATTTTTTTCTCAAAAAGAGAAAACGGTTTAAAATTGATTTAAACGAAACTTTGAAAAATATTTTATTGAAGTGAAAAAAGGGCAAGAATCAATAAGCAGCAGTAGCGCAGCTTAGAAACAACTCAGATAAATAAACTGACGTTAAAGAATTTTTTGTAAATCGCAATCACGTTTAGAACGTGTTATTGAATCGAATTGATTTTCGGAAACGAATATGTTTCCAAAAATCAATTCGAAGTTCAATATATTCTGCTATATTAAATTGTATTCTTTTTGCTATCGACTTTGCAACTTTTTGTTATTATGCTTTAACTCTTTATATATATTCCAAATGTTTTTTAGTTGATGTTTTACAAAAAAGCAATATTTTTTTGTACTTTTTGTTTGTACTTTTATTTTCGAGAGAAAGAGAAAAAAATGGACGCAGGAATATAAGTTCTATAGAATTTTATATGAACTTTTGAAACATATGGCCCATAGAAATTCTATAGAATTTCTATAGAGTTTCTCTTAACTTCTATAAAAATTCCTATTAAAAATTTTTTTTCTACTTTTTTTTTTTATAGAAAAAAAGTTTTATAGCAATTTCTATAGAAATTAATAGACATTTTATAGAAATTCTATAGAGTTTCTATAGGCCATATGTTTTAAAAGTTTATAGAAAATTCTATAGAACTTTTTTTTCTGGAGGAGAACACATTTTAAAGACAATATACAGTTATAAAACAAATAAAGCAATAGTTTTTTCAATTAGTTAAAACTGCTAAAATTGACCAAATTTACACGAAGAAGCAAGAAATTCGAAAACAAAATTTGCTAGCTCATTTCGGAACATCGAAAACATTGCTTCGACAGGGTGTAGCTATAAGAGGTGATAATGATGAAGAATCCAATACTAATCAATTTGGATAAGAGTAAAGTGATAAGACATTATAAATGTTGATGATTGAAAACCATTATTTTTTTATCTCATAACATCTTGCAAGAGCAAGAACAAATCCTCATCTCAGAAGTACAAAGGCGGTTTGTTGAACTGATCAAAGATAAACATTTCTATTCGGTACTTGCAGATGAATTCTCAGATATTACTAAGAAGGAAAAAAATATCGTTTAATATAAGAACTTGCAGTGACAACTTTGAAGTGAATAAAGATTTTATCGGAGTATATGAATGCGTCAACCGTCTTTCATCAGATTCTTTGGTGACATATTTTGATGATATTCTTTTTAAGGTGTAACTTGGAATATACAAAAGTTGCCGGAATCGGCTTTGATGGAGCATCAGTTTTGAAATTTTGCTTGGCAGCAAAACTGAAAGTATTTTGAAAGTACTCTCGAGTGCCGAATACAACGGGGGGTGGGAATAAACGGGTGGATAGGAATTTTAGTCAAAATCTAATAAACGGGGGGGGCAGGGGGGAGGGTTAATAAACGGGGGTAGATTTTTTTTAAAATTTGATAAACGGGGGGGGGGGGGTGAGGGCTTTGTTCAATGCCTCCCCGTTTATTTGGCATGCAAATTATGCATGTTCAAGTCGAATGCGCATTTGACTTGCGGTTAAAAGCGCATTTTCTAACAGCTGTTAGGGTAGGGTTAGGCTGTTTTATCATAATTTTAATAGGATTTAATATGCTGATACAAGTTTTATACTTTGCAAAGTATAAAACTTATATTTAGCATATTAAATCATATAATTAAAACCAAAGCTTTGTTGAGAAATAAACTAAATAAAGCAAATCGAGATTTAATAGGTCGACAATTTGTTAAACCTGTTTACACTGAAAGATTTTGTTTTTATTGGTGACTGAAAATTATTTTCAAACTTTTATGGCCAATTTTCACTGAATTTTTTTTTTAACTTTTGAGATATATAATGTTTTAGTTGATAACAAGTAAAAATTAATAAATGGGAGGAGGGGGGGTCTTAATAAGCTTAGGGTGGGTAGGAAAAATATCCAAAAATTAATAAACGAGGGGGGGGGGACGTTTATTAGGAACTCGAAAGTAAGCACAATATTTTGATTTCAGCACATTGCAGCAAGCTAATTGTTAAGGATACATATACAATACATCACAACAGTCAGTTTTTGAGGCATATCCAAAGCGTGTTGCCTTTTTCGAATAAATCCAATATATTGCATAAGTCTGAATATATTGCATGAGTCTGAATCAGATGAATACAAAATATTGAGACTGAAGTCTATGTCAATCCAAACAAAAGCAGTATAAGTGATGTTGTAAAAGGTTGCAGAACTCCGTACATTATTGAACAGTCTTTAGAGTAACAAGACTATTGTTGCAGAAACAAGAGCACAAATTAAAAGTTTATTTTTTTAGCTTTCATTAGT